CGCCCGCGGCGTGCTGTGTTGCATCGGGTTGAGAGAGAGCATCACGTGGGCCCTCTTACTGGCCCGCGCCCCACGGGACCCGCCTGCGACGACCCACGCGCGACCCGCCCACATCCCCCATTGCTCAGCCACGCGCAAAGGGGGGGGGAGAGGGGTGAGGGCTTCTTAGAAGCACCCCTGCTTCTAAGCAGGCGCGGGCCTTATGTATAGATGTAAGGCCGGCGCCTTCTAAGAAGCAGCCTCCTAAGAAGCCCTCCCCCCTCCTTCCACCCCCTTGTGCGCGCCGCCAAATTGCTTCGGCCGCGGTGCCTTGGCTTCTTGAGAACCATCTGCAGCGCCTTCCCGCCCATCCGTCGAGGCCCGCGCCGCGATGGCCCACGCACCATGGCTCCGATCCGCAACTGCTGAAGGGAAGGAAACACCACCCGGACCCGATGGGTGTCGTCTCCTACACGGCCCCAATGGGCGTTTCCTGAGCGGCCCTGCCCTGTCCGATTCCTCCTCTGCGGGTGTGTTGACTAGACGGCTTCGCGTGTCGGAGGAGGCGGAAAAGGGAGGAGGGGGGACGGAGGAGGGAGGAGGAGGGAGGAGGAGGAGGAGGAGGAGGAGGAGGAGGAGGAAGAGGAGGAGCGAGGAGCGAGGAGGGAGGAGCGAGGAGCGAGGAGCGAGGAACGAGGAGCGAGGAGGGAGGAGGGAGGAGGGAGCAGGGAAAAGGGATGATTTCCAGAATTTCCGCCATCCCGTAGGGATGAGATAAGGCTGAGCTCAGTTGCCGGCTTCGGGAAACAAGTCCCTAGAGATCCGATCGAGATATTCCCGTCGGGTCTTGGAGATTGGTAGCGTGCACGGCTTGCTGAATTCCCCGAGCTGGGACTGACCGAAAAACCGTATGAGCCGCAGTACCAAATCTTCAAGTTGTGGTGGTATTTTAGGGCATGTGAGGGATCGACCCAGCCACCTGCGTGGTGCAACCTACGTCCTCGGGGTAGACGGGATAACCTACTGTCCACGGCTTGGAGCTGGAAGCACTCACTTTTTTCCCCACATCCTAAGTGGTGTTCTTGTTTTCTCTGCACACCCTCCGCGCAGGATCTCTCCTCCTCCTCCTCCCTCTCCTCTGCTCCTCTTTGCTTCCTCCTCCGCATCATCATCACCATCACCATCACTCCCCTCATCATCATCATCATCATCATCATCATCATCATCATCATCATCATCATCATCATCATCAGCATCACCATCACCATCCCATCGATCACTCACCATCATCGGCATCGAACGATCATCATCATCATCATCATCATCATCATCATCATCATCATCATCATCATCATGGAGGCCTGAGGAGGAAGTATCAGGCGGGAGCCTCGTCTGTGAGTGAATTGTGAGGAATTCTCAGGCGGGAGCCCCCTCCCTATGGGGCCCGCACTTCATGTTCGAATCCGAGCGGGTCATCCGCAACGTGCAACTGTCGTCACTTTTGGGCTTTTGAACCTGAATATGGAGGAAGTCTCTAGCGGGAGCCTCGTCTGTGAGTGATTTGCGAGGAAGTCTCAGGCGGGAGCCCCCTCCATATGGGGCCCGCACTTCATGTTTGAATCCGAGCGGGTTATCCGCAACGTCTAACTGTCGTCACTTTTGGGCTCTTGAGGCCTGAATAAGGAGGATGTCTCAGGCGGGAGCCTCGTCTGTGAGTGAATTGCGAGGAAGTCTCAGGCGGGAGCCCCCTCCCTATGGGGCCCGCACTTCATGTTGAATCCGAGCGGGTCATCTCCCTGAACGTCGTCCTTCGGGGCCCGCACTTCATGTTTGAATCCGAGCGGGTCATCCGCAACGTGCAACTGTCGTCACTTTTGGGCTCTTGAGACCTGAATATGGAGGAAGTCTCGAGCGGGAGCCTCGTCTGTGAGTGAATTGCGAGGAAGTCTAAGGCGGGAGCCCCCTCCCTATGGGGCCAGCACTTCACGTTTGAATCCGAGCGGGTCATCCGCAACGTGTAACTGTCGTCTCCGTTGGGCTCTTGAGGCCTGAATATGGAGGAAGTATCAGGCGGAAGCGTCGTCTGTGAGTGAATTGTGAGGAACTCTCAGGCGGGAGCCCCCTCTCTATGGGGCCCGCACTTCATGTTTGAATCCGAGCGGGTCATCCGCAACGTGCAACTGTCGTCACTTTTGGGCTCTTGAGGCTTGAATATGGAGGAAGTCTCGAGCGGGAGCCTCGTCTGTGAGTGAATTGCGAGGAAGTCTCAGGCGGGAGCCCCCTCTCTATGGGGCCCGCACTTCATGTTCGAATCCGAGCGGGTCATCCGCAACGTGCAACTGTCGTCACTTTTGGGCTCTTGAGACCTGAATATGGAGGAAGTCTCGAGCGGGAGCCTCGTCTGTGAGTGAATTGTGAGGAAGTCTCAGGCGGGAGCCCCCTCCCTATGGGGCCCGCACTTCATGTTCGAATCCGAGCGGGTCATCCGCAACGTGCAACTGTCGTCACTTTTGGGCTCTTGAGACCTGAATATGGAGGAAGTCTCGAGCGGGAGCCTACGGCCCAGCCCGAAGGTTTGCCCCGACGGCTTCGCGATCTAGCCGTCGGCAGACGCGCGCGCGCTGGCCGAGGCGGCGACGGCGCTGAGGAAAATGGATTTGCTTGCCCCGACGAGGGGGAAGGGGAGGTGCACATGGAGAAAAGGCAGGGGGATGAGGAGGGAAGGGGCATGGGGGAGGCCGACGACGAGGAGGAGGTGGCGCGAGAGGAGGAGGAGGAGGAGGAGGAGGAGGAGGAGGAGGAGGAGGAGGAGGAGGAAGATAAATAGAAGGGGGAAGAGAGGGCAGCGCAGGGGGCGAGAGGAGAGGGTGTCCGCCAGGGGGAGGAGGAAAGGGCAAATGGTAAGCTAAACAGATTCTCATGTGGGGTCCTACCGTCGGAGTAATTAACCAATCGGCCAAACACGCTTCAGCCGCCGAGCCATTACACACGCTGCACGATCCCCCGCTTGCGGTCAGGACGTGCGCGGACGCGAAGCGTGCAACAGCTACAGGAGGAGGTGGGGGAACACGCGGGGCTGGCTTGGGCTCCTCGGGCTCGCGACTGGCCTGAGGCGCTGCGATGGAGTCTAGACCAGCACGTAGCAGTCGCTTCCTGACCAACCGAGCCTTGTGCTCAACACGGGCTATCCTGGCGCGGTCAGTCTGAAGCACACGAGCACGGCGGGCCGCTTCCTCGGCGAGTTCATCAGCCACACGATTGTCTTCTATCAACCAGCTGGGCCACTGACGCTCAGCGACATCTTTTCTGTCCAAGGGCGACGGAACTTGAATGAAGGAAATACTGGATGGGTCCCTACACTGAATGGCAAGAGTCTTCGAAATCGATCTCCACACATCTGCTTGGGGACCTGATGGGGATCGGAGCTGGCCTTCGTACCAACCCCTGGCAACCTCAGCGCAATCTGTAACATAAAGAAGAGTGCCTACGGAAAACCTGACGGCCCAGGACAGGGCTTGGAGCTCCCCGCAGGGTACCGTTTGGCTGACCCCCACTAGGGGCCCAAGGAGATGGGGCCCCAGCGTGATGGGCCCGAGCGAACTAAAGCAAGCTATGGCGAGACACATCCTACGAATACGGCTGTCGTGGGTGTCGGCCTCTCCTGAGGCATCCCCGAAGACGACGAGGGGCTCCTCAGGGGTCCCCTCCCCGAGACATGCTGGCCCGACGAGGCCTCCGTTGAGAAGGCCACTGCCGCCCTAAGACTCGTTGGACTGAGGAGGGAAGACGGAGGTCCGAGGGGCTGGGATGAGCCCCCGCATCCCAAAACAGGGATAGGCCTCAGAGTGGGCGACCGCTTCAGATACCAGCGAGGCGGACTGTGCGTAAGCAGGGGGCGCTCCCGCCGCGCCCGCCGCCGATGCAGCAGGGGGAGACGCTCCCCCTGTCGCCGCAGCCTGGCCAGTGCCCGCCGCGCCCGCACCTGCCGCATGTCCCGCCCGCGGGGGACCCCCCTCCTTCAGCACGCCTCTTCTTCGCCATGCGCTCCTCAACGCGCTCCTGCAGCTCCTTCGTTCCGTCGTGCCACTGCGAGACCTGCTCCGCCTTGGACCGCGCGCTCTCATTGGCGGCCTTCAGCTCCAGCTCGACCTCCCTCAACTCAGCCTCCTCCTCGTCGCCGCAGTCGAGGTCGTCGATGCTGTCGAAGACGCTGGTGTCCCACGTCAGGTCGATGAGCGGCACGCCTGGCGCAGCGCATGGCTCGGGGGAAATCCCAGTGGCCTTTGCCGGAGCCGCCGCCGCGGTGCGCCTGCAGGTTTCCGCTGGCGCCGGGGCCCGCGCCGTCTCCTCTTCGCGCTCGCGAGCACGCTGGAGGTTGAGGGCGCACCGCTCCGCCTGCGCCACTTGGCCGAGGCGTCACGCCGGGCGCTCGACGCTAAGCGCACCGCCTCCTCGGCGGGCACGCTCTTCGTCGTGGCCGCGGCTGTGCGTGCCTGCCCCAGCTGCTGCTCTAAGATGATCTTCACCGATGGGTCCTGCACCACCTTGAGCGCGGCCTCCAGCGCGGCGACGGGGTCGGGAGCAGCACCCACGGCTCCTCTCAGGCTGGTGCCGCTCTTGTCGCTGCCCTTGTCGCCCTTGGCTTTCATCTTGAACAGAGTGAGCTTGATGCCACACTTGCCACGCTTCGCACCCTGGTTGGCAAGGATGCGGTTCCATTCACATTTGCCACAGCCATGGCACTTGGTCCAAGCGTCTGTCGCCGAAGAGGCACCTGACGTCTGCTGCTGCTCAAGTGTCCTCTTTCCCTTGCCTCCCATGGCTCGATACTACTGATGCGTCCCTTTAGCCAACCCGCGCAACTGACCGAAAGCGTGCAAACGGAAAGACTGGTCAGCCGCGGGTGCCACCCAAGCACCACGTATGAGGCGGACAGGCAAAATGCTTGGGCCAAAGTGGCTTGAGGAGGGAGGAGGGAGGAGAAGGAGGATGAGGAGGAGGAGGAGGGAGGGAGGAAGAGGACGAGGGAGAGGAGGAGAAGGAGGAGGGAGGAGAGGAGGAGGAGGAGGGAGGAGGAGGAGGAGGAGGAGGAGGAGGAGGAGGGAAGAGGGAATTGGAGGAGGAGGAGGAGGAGGAGGAGGGGGAGGACGGAGGGGAGGGACGAGGGACGAGGGACGAGGGAGGAGAAGGAGGAGGAGGAGGCGGATGAGGAGGAGGAGGAGGAGGAGGACGAGGAGGGAGGAGGGAGGAGGAAGGAGGAAGGAGGGGGGAGGAGGAGGAGGAAAAGGAGGAAGAGGGAGGAGGGGAGGAGGAGAGGAGGGGGGGGAGGAGGGAGGAGGAAGGAGGAGGAGGAGGGGGAGGAGGGAGGGGGAGGGGAGGAGGGAGGAGGAGGGGGGAGGGGGAGGAGGAGGGAGGAGGAGGGAGGAGGAGGAGGGAGGAGGGGAGGAGGAGGGAGGAGGGAGGAGGATGTTCTGCCCTCTCCTTGCGGGGCACGTGGCTGACTCTCCCGCCGGCACGGGCAGGCACGACCATCCGCAGTCGAAGCTGGGCACGGAGGCCTTCGTCGGGCTCTGCATCAACTACGCCGGGCGCCCAGCGTCCAGACCGCGGGCTTGGTGTTAAGCTGGGCATGTCCCTGAACAGGGGGGAATCTTCAAAAATAGCAAAGCATAGTATGGGCACAATTTTAAGGCCACTTTTGACGATCTTAAAATAATGCGAGAAGACGATTCATGAACAAATGGGAGAGGGGGATTAATACATAGTTTTCTGCTATTTCTGCGAAATTTTTCTGACTGGAGGAGAACGATTAAAAAATAGTTGTCCAGCCCGCGACTGGTTTTTTTCTAATCGTCATCCCGGGCGCCGCCGCGTGAACACGACCCCCGGTCATTTATTAATCGTCATCCTCCATTATGTTGTGACTAATTTAAACGATTCCTCCAAAGTCCGCCTGTAGGAGGACATGCCCAGCCTAGGCCTGGTGACGCCTGCCCAGGCGGACGGATGCCACGGCGCTTGCAGGAAGAAGAAGAGGGGGTGGAGGAGGGGGCGCAGTGCTGGAAGGAAGCGAGGAGTGTGAGGCAAGAGGGGGAGGACGCGCGGGAGGAGGTCAGGAAGATGTGGGGAGGAGGCGGACAAGTTCAAGCAATAGCGAAGCGTCCTGGCTTTCCTATAGGCCCACCTCAAATATTCTAAGAACCATTAGTAGTCTGCACGACGTGTTCTTAGAACATTTCTGGCCGAGATTGTCTTGTTTTAACACATCGGGTTTATGTTCTAAGAACGTGTTCTTGTTAGTAGAACATTTGGGGGTTCTAAAAAAACTTCGCGGTAGGCCTAAAGGAATGCTGGGATGGTCGTTCCCTGCTCAACAGGTGGTGAGCGCAGGGGCGTCGTCACGGGCAGCGTTTTGCAGGCACGTCCCCACTAGCACGCGTTGCATCCCGCATCTTGACTGAGTTGAGGGCGATCATTAGCAGTAATTACCAACAGTTTTGATCAGTTGTGTTGTTGTGGTTGAGCGTGATGCGCTCGGAGCGACGGGTCTGATCAGCAATGTGGCTGTTGATTGGGACGGACATCCTGAGGCAAGACACTGCATGTCCTATGGCGAGATGGGCTTCTTCCAAAGCTCTCCCGTGCCGATCAGATGCGCATGCGTTTGTGCTCAAGCTCATTTCAGCACGCGGTTGCAGGGCAAGCATCGTTGTTGCTATCCGATATCCCATCTACATGACCTTCTACCACTGTTAAGTCGGGCGTGCCCCTCTACAGGAGGAACATTCAAACATACTCAAACATTATCCTGGCGAATGGCCCAACCATATGCAATTGTGAGTAACGCAAGTGTTAGTATCGTCTTCGGTGGAGCTCCTTATGGGGCCACGAAGCGTGTGAGGGGTGTGCCGAAATGGGTTCGTCGGTGCCATGCGAGCGCGGCCACTGGGGCCTCCGCTGGAGCTCCCCATGGGGCTACGAAGCGTGTGAGGGGTGTGCCACAATTTGCGCGGTGGCTTCATGCGAGCGCAGCCACTGGGGCATTCGGTGGAGCTCCCTATGGGGCCACGAAACGTGTGAGGGGCGTGCTGAAATGGGTGCGGTGGTGTCATGCGTGCGCAGCCAGTGACGCCTTCGGTGAAGCTCCCTGTGGGGCCACGGGATGGGTGCGGTGGTGTCATGCGAGCGCAGCCATTGGGGCCTTCGGTGGAGCTCCCTATGGGACCACGAAGCGTGTGAGGGGTGTGCCGAACCAGAGACATGCGGAGGGCAGAGGCAAGGAGGGGGAGGAGGAGGAGGAGGAGGAGGAGGAGGAGGAGGAGGAGGAGGAGGAGGAGGAGAGGAGGAGGAACGCGTCGCGCCGTCTTTTCAAAACGAGGACCCAACACCACCGGATGGTTGGGAAATAGTATGGGGATGATTTTCTTAACTATTCTTGACAATTGTCGAACATTTGTGGATTTTTTATTTTTCGTCCAAAATCCGCCTGTAGGGGGGACGAGCCCGACCGCTTTCATGTGATGCAGGCTTGCAAGCCGCGAGTGCTCGTCGCATCGATTTCCCCTGCTAGCCGCGCTCGTTCTTCGTGGACGTCGTGTCTCCCGCCCTTGCGCCGTGAGCCGCCATCCTGCGCGCATTGTGTCGTGTTCCCTGGCGAGATGCTGGCCCGCCTTTGGCCCGCAACGCAGAGCTGTTTCGGCAAGGTCCCACGCGTGGCCAAAGTCACTGGTAGTTTGTTTTCGCTTGTTCGCGTAGTTGCTACAATGCCGTGTTCGTTGTCATGCTGGATCCGCGTTAACCCCAAACGGCGGTTCCATGCAATCTGCAGGGCGTGGCGCGTTACTCAGAAAGTGGGCCTGTCTGTCGGTCTGGCGGCTATGTTGCCGCCGTCGCCGCCTCGTCGCCGCCTCGTCGCCGCCCGTCGTATGGGCCTGCCTGTCGGTCGCCGCGCTTGTTGCCACCGTCGCCGCCCCGTCGCCGCCTCGTTGCCGCCCGTCGTATGGGCCTGCCTGTCGGTCGCCGCGCCTGTTGCCGCCGTCGCCGCCCCGTCGTCGCCTCGGCGCCGCCCGTCGTCTGGGCCTGTCAGTCGGTCGCCGCGTTTGTTGCCGCCGTCGACGCCCCGTCGCCGCCCCGCATAGATTGCGCAACGGGCGTTGAACAGTTTAGACTGCCCAGCATAAGATTCACCACGCAGATTGCATTACACGGATTGCGCACCACGTAGGCCGCACACCATAGATTGCACCACATCGGTTGGACCACATTGGCTGCACTACGTAGCTTGCACTGCATATATTGCACAAGATAGATTGCACACATTGCGCAGCATCGATCGCATATATTGAACAACAGATCGTTGTCCTCGTAGGTCGCACCATCTATGATGCACAACGTAGATAGCACAAGATCTATTCTCGTTTCTAAAAGAGTGTTCGGATCTTCTCCTTTTCGCGCACCTAACGCCTCATCGCCTCGCATGGTATTCTTCGTATATGATTCTGCTCGCCCGTCCTTCATAAATATCGTGTTGTCGCAAACAATCGCTTATCGACCCCCTGATCCTTCTGCAAAAGCTATTATGCGCGCGCGTCCCTCTAACACCAAACATCCGTGTTCCAGAACCCCGTAAACAACTTGGGACGGAGTGCACACGCGCGCGTTGTCGCGCGCGCGCCGGATTTTTTCCAAAGTTCGTCGAGGATTCGTAAGGATTTCAAAACCGAATGTCGCGAAACGTAAAAACAACCAATGGTTTCGCAACATGAATATTCAACATATCATGCGCTCGCTCTCTTTTTCGGATTCTTCAGGCAAGCGTGGTTTTCTAGCATTTTCGCCACATGCTACCAAATCTGCTTCCTGTACGCATGTCGAAACTATTCGAACGCTCGTGCGCGCGTGCTGTCGCAATAATCCCTTGCAGTAAACGGGGCGAAATGCACGCGTGCGTCTGCGCGCACGCATGCCGAAAGCTTTCATCAGCATTGGGTTCCGCAAGGATTTCAACATCGAGTGCCGCAGACATGATAAAACAATCAATGGTTTTGCAACGTGGTTTTTTGTATAAGGTTCGCGCGCTTCTGCTGTCTTTCTGTAAACTGAAAACCATTGCTTCTTCAATATCGTCATCAAGTGCGACCAAACAGGCCTCTCGCGCGCGCATGCCGAAATCATTCGAACGTCTTTTGCGCGCGTGCCGGGGGTATGGGGGGGGGCGCGATCTTGTCCGCGTGATGCCACGCGGCCTACTCGCGCGCGTCTGCCGCGCGCGCGTGGCGAAATCCTGATCGCAACCTGATGGCGCCCAGACGGCCAAAGAAAGCTCCCAAAGAACCCCACGATGCAGACAGCCAAAGAAGACCCCAGAAGCCCCACAAGATGACCCAAAGGGCCCCCAAGAAGCCCCCAACAGGCCCCAACAACAACCCCACGCGGCGCCAGGAGCCCCCAGGGTAGCCCGATAATTAGGGTCACCAGGACCCTCTCCTGATTCAACTTCCTTCTCCAATTGCCTCTTACTGTCCTCCGTCGTCGTCGTCGTCGTCGTCGTCGTCGTCGTCGTCGTCGTCGTCGTCGTCGTCGTCGTCGTCGTCATAGTCCTCCGTATTTCTTCTCGTGCTCGCCCTCGTTCTCTTCGTCGTCCTCCTTGTGCTTTTCCGAGCAGAATCGATGCACGCACTTGTGAGCGAAAACCGAAGGGCGTGCCCTGCATTGATTTGGAAATGCGTGCAAAGCGGTTGTGAGTTCGGATATTTCGACATGTGCGCGCGCGCGTGTGGGCTTTGCGCCACGTTTCAAAGGAGTTGTTCGAACATGATCTTTTGAGACGAACGGGTGCGCGCGCAGGTGATTATTTGACAGGAATGAACGGGGCGATAAGCGGTCGCCCGGAATGTTGAGATGCTCATACGAAAAATGAGTTACGACACATAATCCGATGTAATTTGCAGTATCCCAGAGGGGGTCGATAAGTCTGTGCTCGGGAGGGGGTGCAGATTCGTGGCTCGAGCGGGCGAATGCTGAAAAAGTAATGATGATGATGATGATGATGATGATGATGACGCAGCCGACGAGGGCGACGACAGCGACGACGACGATGATGACGATGTTGATGACGACGGTGGGATGATGACGATGGCGATGATGATGGTGCTGAAGATTGTGGCGATGACAATGGTAGTGATGTTTCTGGGAATGCTGATCACCATTGTGCTGCGAGCTTGGGGCGACGACAACAACGATGACGATGACGGTAGGCAGAGGAAACTTTCTGGTGAGAGTCATAGTGTTGGCGTCCGCATGTGATTATTCCATTTTTAGTCCAAATATCCCACCAACCCACCCGCAACTTGTTGGAACAACTCCACCGGCGTAATAACTCGAGGACCATCGTGCGGGCCCCTGACCGATGGATGCCATGGAGTTGGACCTCATCGGGTAGGATCATAGGGATCCTATCCTTACTGTTTGGGATTCGCCCGGTGGAATCATTTCGAGTTGTGCCAAATAGGGTGGAGACCTATGAGAAGGGATTCTGGCAGGTGGGAGTTCATTGACGCCATCGGGTGGCGCACTATCGAGAGGGACCCTCGAAAACCCGTCTGGGAAGCCTTGTGACGGGAGGGGTCATATGACACCAAATAGGAGAAATTGTTGCGAAATAGGCCATGGTCAATGCATCATGGTGCGTTCTTTGGGGGAAATGGCGACATGGTTACTGTAGCATGTGGCTTTCTCTTCCCGCTGATAGTTTTAGCTGGAGCTTCAGCTTCAGCTGTTAATAGCCTGCGCTTTGCTTCAGCTCCAGCTTCAGGTGTCGATGACTCTTTAGCATGAACGGCGTTTACACATCAGGTGCAGGAGGCACGCCGGACTCCGCGAGCACGACGGCAGAATGCTTAGCAAGTGCATCCTGTAGCACTGCTGCCACATGGTACCATGCGCATCCGCCACCACGGTTCGGAAAGCTGCGCATCAACGCTGCAGCGTTCCTCGGCTCCAGCGCGGAGGAGGAGAAAGAGGAGGAGGAGGAGGAGGAGGAGGAGGAGGAGGAGGAGGAGGAGGGGGAAGAGGGGGAGGAGGAGGAGGAGGAGGAGGAGGAGGAGGAGGAGGAGGAGGAGGAGGAGCAGCAGGGGGAGGAGGAGAAGGAGGAGGAGGAGGAGGAGGAGAGTTTTGCTGGGGCCGTCGTCGGGCATGCCTCTGACCGCCCTGGGGCCGCGCTCGGGCAGTCTTGGGGCCGCCCCGGTGTGGCCGTCCTGAGGTGTTGCTTACGGCAGGTTCGCGTCGTGCCGACCGGCGGCAACCCCGCCGCCAGCGTTCAACGTTGAACGCCGGCGGCGACCCAGAATCGGGCGATGTTGAACGATTGGGCGTTGCGGCGACAGCCGATCGTTCAGGGTCCAACGATCCACGCGGTGTCAGAAACCATTGCCGGGGTCGTCACGACGCGAACCTGCCGTAACAATCTCGGGGCGCTCTCGGGGCCCGGTGAGGGGCCTCCTGGACTGCTGTGGCGCTGGCTGAGTTGGGATGCAACTCCACGGAGGTTTGCTTCAGCATCGGCGCTTGTGTATCCGTGGTCGAAGACATGCCCGATCAGAGAAAATCATGCTCAATCCAGTTGAATCGAGTTCAATCCCGGGTTTACTAGCTTCCAACCGTTCCCACGGAGACCTCCGAGGAGTTGCCTCCTGAGCAGAAGGCGCTGCCAAGTGGCAAGGTTGCAACCTCAGGAAGCTGTGGTTTTTGCATCGTTTGCCTCCAAGGGGCCTCCCATTCAACTCGAGCTCTGCCAGGTTTTACCGAACAGTCTCCAAGGGGGCGTCAAGCCCCAGCCTGCTTCCTCACCGTGGCTGCGCATCAAAAGCGGCCCGGCTCTGCCCAGCAGTTGCGTCCCCGCTCCAGGCCCGACCAGGGCACCTCCCTGGCCAAGGTATATCCCGCAACGGTGTCGAGCAGTCTGCGCCGAAGCGCACAGGAAGCATCCAGACCCAGACATGCGGCGTCCTGATTTTTGTCAGGACGGCGTTCCGGAAGTCCAGACCCTTTCCCCGAGGCCGGTTTTTCATCCTCCTCCTCCCCCTCCTCCTTCCCCCCCCCTCCTTCCTTCTCCTTCTTTCTCCTTCCTTCTAGTGTGCAGTTTATGTCATGCCTGTCTGAACGCAGTTCTCCCTGTCTTATTTTCCACGTTGGCGCGAAGCATTTTCCAGTGCACCCGGTCACTGGGACTGCGTGTCCCATACGCCTGCCCTCTGTGAGGACCGCCCCATAGGGGCTGGAATGCGGGTCGGAAAAAATAAAAAGTCGTGTTTTGACGGTCCCGAGGCCCGGCGAGGGCCCCCGAGGCCGAAATTGGCCAAAACCTCCCGTCCTGATCTCTTTTCACGACGCGATCATGACCTCTCGTGACCATCCCTGGCATGTCTCCGCTGCTCCACGCCGCAGCTAATGCCGGGCACCACTGCCACCAGCGGGCTCGCCCAGAGTCCGGTCCGGGAAGCATCGGCCGACAGCAAAGCCCC